TCGACGGCCCCAGCTCCATGGACGTGCCGCGCCTGCCGCAGGAGGGCCGGGTGGAGCTCCTCAGCTCGGCGAACACCGTGGAGGAGCTTGGGGTCTGGGCCCGCTGGAGCATGGCAGTCGTGGCGGCGTCGGTGCCGGAACCAGCTGGAGGTGACGGAGGCCTGGGCATGCTCCGCTTGCTGCCCAAGTCTTGGGGCAAGGAAGCTGCGAAGGAAGGAGCGAAGGAAGTCGCGAACCAGTGCGACATGGGTGGTGTGGAGGAGCGCGACCTGATCATCCCCAGCAAGACCAAGCTGCTGGCGTCCGACACGAAGCTGGATCGTGAGCTGCACGACGAGCTGTGCACACCGCCGCTGCCTCTGCGGCCGGCGGTGGGCGCGACGGTCGTGGGCAGCGATGCGGCTGCTGCACGGAGAACGTGCTGCAGGAGGCAGAGGATGTTGTTGGGGACGGGCCGAAATCAGGAGCGACAGAAGGACGTACACGTACATGAATCCACGCTGGTTTCGAGAGTACGCATTGCGCAAAATTTCGTATAACGAGGCCGGTCTCGCGGATCGAAGGGCCGTGTTCATGTACAGAGCTGGGCGCGTACGTCCTTTGTGGGCTCCCTACGAAAGCCGAGCTCCCCGGGGGCCGATCCGAAGCCCGAGGCCTCCGAGTCCGACTGTCCGAAATCATCGGACGGGCCTCGGAACGAAGCCTCCCCGCGGGCCTTCACCCCGGGAAGGTCGGCCTCCTGTAGACTTAGGTCGGGCGCGTCCCCCTACAGGGGGGGTTGTCGACGAAAAATTAAAAACAAATAGTCAAAAAATACCCCGAAATGGTCAAAATAATACTTTAAAAAATAGCCCCCAGACTATTTCTTGACTCTTTTTGAGTATTCCCCCTGCAGAGGCACAGGCCCGACGTAACTGCAGGCCGCAAGGAAAGCGGCACCTGCTCGCGCGAGGCGAGGCGGAGCCCGACGCGAGGCCCCGGCGCCCGCGCCCCCGCGCACCGGGCACGCGAGGGGGGCAGCAGGCAGGGGGCCGGCCCGCGAGAGAGGGGGCACCCGGCGGAGGCAGCTGGCCGCGCCCGCAGTCCTGAAGGGGCCCTGGGACACACGAATAAACACACACAGATGAGAGGATTCCCTATAGTTTCGCATGGTTTCTGGGTTTTTATCTTCCCCTCCACTTCCCATATTCTCGCATATGTTCCTGGGAGCGGACGAGATTCATTGTGTCAGTGTGTTTTTTTCCATCCTGAAGTCCTGGGCCCCGCGGCCCGGAGGGCCCTGCCATCCAAGCGAGGGCCCAGCTCTGAGGGACAAGGATAGGAGGGGGGGATAGGGACAGGGCGTCGGCCTGGAATCGGCGATACATCGCCGATGGATCGGCGAGAGGCCTCCGATGGTGAATCCGCACCTTCCGGGGCAGGTTGGGGCTCTCGGGCCCCTATCGGCGATCAATGGGCGATTGGGTGTCGATGCATCTGCCCCTATGCCTATCCCCCCCCGATCGTTGCCCCTGAAGCTCCTGCAGAGGGCAAGAAATCCACCACTAGAAGAACCACCCCGACAAGCGAGGCCCTTTGGTACGCGCGCCCAGAGGAGGAGTCGAGCAGGGCAGGGCTGTTTAGTATAAACGCCCAGGGCCGTTGAGCCAACGCCCAGCATCGGGTCTGGGTGGTTTTTCTTCGCTGGATCCTGGACTCCTGGCTCTGCCTCTGGGAGACCGCGCGCGAGCTGCACGTGAGGATCAAGAGGGCGGGGCACACCGTCAGAGGAGCGCTCCAAGCAGCAGGGCGAGCTGGCGATGGCGCAGAGTACGTGAGCCCATGGGCGCGGTCGTCGCGACGCTCATGGACCTTGGCTGGGAGGCGCGTTCGGTAACGTTGTGGATCAGACAGCAAGCCAGCATGGAGTGGCACACGGTGGAGGCGGACTCGGACGCGTTCGGCAGCTTCATAGATCACCAGGCCATCCTGCACGACATACGTGAAGATGTACGACGGCAGCTGTGGAGACACGCAGCTGAGCATGAGGACGGCTGTGACCTGGCAGATGGAGCCGATGTTCTGCATGTACGATGGGGCCTAGGCAAGCACGCCAGGAAAGGCGAATGGGCTGAGTGGGGCAGACTGACGGCTGTGGTGAGCGGAGGTCAGTGATGCCGCACACGGAAGCACAGGGGTGGATACCTCGTGGAGACGGAGTACCCACGGTGCGGCCTGTCGGACGAGGCGCTGGCCCACGGGATCTGGAGATGCCCAGCCAACACCAACGAGTACAGGGAGTTCAGGCAGTCCGAGCACCTGGTGACGAAGGCGCCTGCGGCGGTGAGCAGTGAGCCTGCCCTATGGTCGAGAGGGCGCACGCCTATTCACTGACCACGCCAGTCTCCGATTCGGGAAGATCGCCTCTGATATGATGCTCTGTCCTCCTCGGAGGCGTCCATCCGACCCGAACATATAGTACAAACATCTGATAGTATACTCCCCAGAGCGGTGCGGCCAGAAAAAGCCCGCCACGGAGCTTCTGCTAGAAGATCTCTCGGCGCGCGCGCGTCGCCCCTGGGGTGGGCGACGCACTCAGAGTGTTAGGATGTCGGTGTGACGCTGACGTATGCGCCGCTCGTTGTGGTTCATTGCATTCCATATTGGGGGCAGCTCCTTGGGGAAAGACGGAGGGAAAATCGAGCCAGACCACAAAGGAGGCGATCTAGGCTCGGTGAAGCCTTTTCCTCGCGGGGGGGACTCCTGAACCAACCCTGGGGAACCCCTTCCTTTTGATCCGGGGCTGCGGCGAGGGCAGGATGAGCAGGCGGCGCGCAGAATGGAGCGGCGCGAGGGCGGCGGTCTTCCGAGGGGACGGGGATGGTGGGGTTCGGAGAAGACAGGGGGCCCCGTAGAGGACATCCCAGCTTGTGAGCGGTTTCTTATGCGGCGTTTCGACCGTGGGCGGAAGGGGGGGGGGGAGGGAGGGGTCTGGCTCTGGACGCTTAGC